TTGATCCTAGTCATCTTGGGGGATTTATCGTGCCAACTGCCTTTAAGGCGAAGTCTTTATCCTTTATCCTTTTAATATAGACAAAGACATTTGAGGGCGAATTAGGGTGTCCGGGAAAGCCCACACGTACTGCATTGCGAGCCTCTGACGGTAGCTTCCTTCGCTTCTTAGAGAATTCCGAAGTCAAGCTTTTCTTTATTCAGTATTATACTATATATTATAATCTTTATTCAATATTATCACTTTATTCAGGATTTCTCACTCGTTTAGGGTTTTGATCCAGTTATTGTCTATCCTAAGCCGTCAAAAACGGACCTAATGACAGCCTTGGTAACACAGTGCACTGGAATGGGTAAAGAGTCAGGGTTATTCTCAATATTATTTTCTGCTTTAATGTTCAGTTGCTTAGAAGTTACTTTCCTCTCGCAAAATATCTTCTTCAGGTATACCAGTGCTATCATCACTTCCCACACTCAGTGAGTTTTCGCTGGTCGTTGACGCATTTTTCGGTTTTTCATTCAAGCCACCTGTACGAGAACCGTTCGCCGAAATTATTGAAGCAGTGACGAAGTCTGAAATATTCGTCTTCTCGATCGATATTCCCTCAGGTATTGATCTTTTCAGATTGGAAATAAGCCTCATATTTCAATATTCGCGTCTTTCTTAACGTACAAATAGGTAGAGGGAACGAAAAAGCACATGGTTCATGGCTCATACCATTAAAATCCTTGTCGAGTAAGGTGGCAGAGTAAATAAATGGAAGATGCTTAGTCAAATGCTCTTGAGTGGTCCTATATAAGGAGGAAAGGGTCTTTTATCATTGTCTTCCTCGTCATGGAACAGTGCCGCCATTCATAGCCGCCGTCGTGCAAAAGTTCTTCAATATTCGCTTCAGCGTAGATCAGCTGCGTAATTCGGAAAGCTGAGTCACTGGCGTGCAGGTTCTTGGGAACGCTCTGGTATTGGAAGAGAAAAGCTCTAACAAGGGAATGGTTTGAACTTCCCATGGAACTTTGAATGGAGACCTAGGTACATCGATAGAGCCTCGAATGCTGATTACGAATATGCAGATTAAAAGTGCTACGGGGACCTCCCAGACGAGATCTGGGTGGTCAAAGTTTGAGTTCTGGCTCGTAAGCGCTGCTGATCGATGCTTCGGCAGTGCCACCGTGGCCTCGTGGTAATGGTCTCGCTTTCAAGTCAAACGCATGCGGGTTTGCATCCGGTTGGCGCGAAAATTTTTGCTTCGCTCCGTATAAGAGCTTCAACTCTAATTTTCGAAATTCTTCCGAATTTACGGCCCAGCAGGGCAAGTAGATCAAGTACATCAAGTATACGACGTACTCGATCTAGTATGGATTGGTCATATCTGCCCTCTCTGAACATATTACCCATCCGACAATTCAAAGTTTTAGCGAGAAATTCGTTCATGGGACCCTTCATTCTTCAGACCCGTTCATTCGACCCCCTGACACGAATATCACATCCTTCGACGAAAAAACGCTCGTCTGGCCAAATTGCGATTCTGGGCAAAACTTTGAATTGTCGGATGGGTAATATGTTCAGAGAGGGCAGATATGACCAAATCCATACTAGATCGAGTACGTCGTATACTTGATGTACTTGATCTACTTGCCCTGCTGGGCCGTAAATCGGAAGAATTTCGAAAATTAGAGTTGAAGCTCTTATACGGAGCGAAGCAAAAATTTTCGCGCCAACCGGATGCAAACCCGCATGCGTTTGACTTGAAAGCGAGACCATTACCACGAGGCCACGGTGGCACTGCCGAAGCATCGATCAGCAGCGCTTACGAGCCAGAACTCAAACTTTGACCACCCAGATCTCGTCTGGGAGGTCCCCGTAGCACTTTTAATCTGCATATTCGTAATCAGCATTCGAGGCTCTATCGATGTACCTAGGTCTCCATTCAAAGTTCCATGGGAAGTTCAAACCATTCCCTTGTAAGGCTGTTTGGACGGCGTCGCTGAGATCGCGGCCTTTTGCTTGAATGGCTCAATTTTTTGATCATCAGGACCCCCAGTATTCTCGCATATCCCTTTCGCAAATTTCAAATGACGTAACCAATGACCGACATGCAGTCTTTTTCGCTGCAGACGTTAGGGCGTGTAAGTGAGCGGGGCTTGGCGAATCGCCAGCTCGTTCTCCACCAACTGCCGTTGCTTTCCTGCTTCAGCGATTAGTGCAGAACGGTCCGATGTTGCGATAGATCTACCCCTGCCCCTCCCTGAAGCGCCCACTGTCTGCAGTGAAAGCGTCCATAAATGTCCAGACTATCCACTTCCCCGTCAATAAGTGGGAAATAAGTTACAATGGTACGCTGCGCAGGAGAAGTAATGTTTCCGGTCTCCAGCCCTCCCTTATATGAACGAAGGTTACTCTTCGATTTGATGGTCTTCTTCTCTATTATTGTATTAAAGATAGTATCGTCGTAGTAAGTGGGGCGGTGTCAAGAAGCCTGCAATGAGCCCCTCCGCGGTGCTTTTCATTACTGGATGATTTTTCCCCAAATCAATCACTACTCGATGATTATTGGTAGAGAAAGGCAGCCGGAGGCAGGCTCCTTCCTGGCTCCACCCCGACTAATATTGACGATATCAACTACCCCATTTTTCTCGACCTACTCGATCTAATGTTCTAGTAAATATGAGGTACATTCCCATGCATGATTCTATAAACTAGTTTCTGGTTGCTGATTTTCTATATCTCGAAAATCTCCACTTTTTGGGAAGGACTGAACAGAAGAGAGATAGTGGATTCGCTGGGTTTTTCTCGTCGTTTTTTTAATCCCCTTGTGCAGTCATAACGCATTATGCCGTGGCATAAGGTGATCGAATTAGGCGATTCCTGATCGCAACAAGTATGCGCGTCTGCCGCAGTAGTGCACAGATCCAATTGTGTCGATAGCTCTCAAGGTGGCGGTCAAGTGAGTCAGTGGGCGTCTCAATTAGATAATGCACAGTCTGCTGAGCAAATTCGTGCCTGCTCTGCTGGATTTGTGGGATAGAGTGGGAGATCGGAGATTATCATCATAGAGATTTATTTTTTTCATTTATCAAAGGATTCTTATACACCATTATTAGTGAGCACATCGTCCAGCGGTTTTAGAAATTTCGAATTACTAGCTTTTTTAATTATTGCACAGTTTCGTTGGATTAACAAAGAATATTGGATGTATTGGGGTGTTTTGAGAAATTTCAACCAGCTCACTGAACATTTATCAACAACGATAAGAAAGAGGAATTTATAGTTATAATATTGTCCATTTATAGTTATAATATTGTCCACCCCATTCCCTTAACTTTTGAGCGGCGTCGCGTGGGAGCTAGAATGAAGTGAGTACCGAGAATGCGGGGGCATACGCAACACCTGAGCCAAAGTTCCACGTGAGAGATAACCGACCAGATTCCTACCACAGATAGTTTTTAAGCGCATTTAATTCAGCATCGGTGACGGTGTTTCATTCTCGATTTAACCGATAAAGCATCCAGAACGGTGAAGATAAAGTGAAAGGCGTTGGGAGTGGTGTGCGCTAGTGCATTTTCCAGGTAATGTCAAATCATAACAACAATGGAGAATAATAACAACCAGCATTAGTATTGATCTACAAACATTTTTCTTTCGCATAGCACTCAGCATATTGATTTCTTCCTACATATCTTCAAACTAGAAAGTTGAAATTTTCTCGAAATTTTCCGGAGAACCTAATATACAGGGGGCGGAAAAAGTCACGACCGACTAACATATCAGCAAAGTTTTCGCAGCCCAGACAGAAGACGTGGAGTAGACAGGCGAATAACAAGATGTCCACGATAAGCAGGAGCAGGCTCTCGCCCATCACCTTCATGTACAGCAAAATATGAAGTCATCTCCAGTCGCAGCCTGACTGGAGAAGACTTTGAATTCATGTCACCTCCAAACAGCTGCGAAACTTCTAGTGTGGAGTCACCCATGGATAGCTACCTGGAGACCATTACTCTCGGATATGGATTTGTCCAAATCAGCGTCCGACCGACGTCGTCAGCGTGCTAGGACATCGACTCTTCAACACAGCGCCAAGGCGCTAGTTGGTGCGTATGGACCAGGATATACACTGAATGGAAAGATCAATATCTTTTAGTGGGTCCCGGACTGGAGGTGAGGCGCTGGCGGTTAATAGAGCAACTTCTCGCTCGCGTACCTTCTTTGTTTTTTTTGCAAACTTTGATACTGCTACGCATTGGGTGCACCAATGGCAAGTCGAGGGCAATTGGAGAAAACTCTACGCCTGTTGATAATGCGGGGGGGGGCCCGAGAATACCTATAAGAAGATGAGTAGGTCACCTGACCTGAATCCCCTCAATTACCCGGTTCGGGCGGAGTTCAATAGGGTGGTCTACAGTGGCGGAGAAATCAACGATCTCGCTGAACTCAGGCACCCACTCACGGTCGCGTGGCAGAATCTCTCGATGGCGCTCCTCCAGAAGGCTGTGGCGGAGTATCGCAATAGTATTTGATATGCTGTTGAATATGGTTGTAGAAATGTCCCAATCAGAATTCAATAAAGTGTGACTTATAGCGCCTCGAAAGTCAATGAAGGAAGCGACTTTTTTTTGGCCCCGTATATCTCGACAATGATGTGGCTTCACACTTTTAATGGCAGCTAGCAATAAATGGGTATAGTGTGAGATATACATATAGTAGTAGCTATATTACTAACATGTGCTTTTTGAACCTTTTATTCTTACAGTGTCTCTAAGGTGACGGATGGAAGCTCTTCTGCCAGTGATTTTATTTGTTTGGAACATCAATTATTCATAACTGAGACTTTTGTAGTATTTTGGTTCGCTCTGTAGGACCTGAACGTTGTTTTATTTTACACCTAAGGAGCCGATCGTTCGGCGCGGCCAGATTGCCATTGGGCGCATCGGCTGTAATTGCCACCCAGACAGCCTTGGACTTTTGAAGTATTTTGGTTTGTTCAGTAGGACCTGCACGTTGTATTTTTTCTTGTTCCTTTTCTCTCGTCATAGTCTAACATGCCTTATGACGCGTGCGTTCCGTCATACCATATCCCTGTGGGACCAATATATTGACACAATACTTGTCTGGGCGAACAAAAACGCTGAATTGTACATCGGATGCCTTCCTCTGCCTCTGAAAGAGATCGTCTAGGCCAATGAAGAAAAGCCAAAGTTTTAACGAAGGGGTAATTTAAGCTATACTAGGTACATTCGAAATCCCTGAGATGTAGCAGACGTGGCTCCGTACTTCAAATATCCGTGGCAGTGGCCGTGCTTTTGGTGAGATATTTTCACGTGTCTCTGTCCAACACAGAACAAGATGACAGTTGTCTCAAATTGAAATATCCCACGAGTAACCCATTCTATGCCATGTTCAAATGCCACGCCTACTCCGTCTCAGGGATAAGGAGTGTAACTCATTTCGCCTCTGAGCAGACGAGCCTGGGGATTCTCAGTGGATAGAAGCCAACGAACCCCAAAATGTGTGATGAGTTAAGCCGCATTCAAACCATCCATTACAATTCCAAATGAAGCTGGAATGTGCGGCACATCCCAGAAAAGATTGACGCTAAGAGCTTTATCCCTGATTTACAGTAACATCGCTTTGCTGTACTGCAGTTTAGGCTGGCATGTGGAAAATGGAGCACCATCTGAAGGTCCATATATTCGTCCGCATGGCATTATCTCATTGACAGCGCCAAAACTATGCGTCAGGGACTGGACAGGACCTCATTTTGTACGTTTCCTTGTCATATGTTCTAGGGGAGGATATTAAGTTTTTCAGGTTACCTTTTAGAGAAAAAAATCCTCTTTGTTGATTCCAAGAAAATTCCAGATTGGTGGACGTTTTGTGCCGAAACAACTGGCCAAGGAGCATGGTCTCGTTGTGTATGCCTAAAGCTACCCGAATGCTGATCAGATAGTGAAGTGTGAATAAGTGCGAAGATGTGCCATTGTATAATATTTATGACGAGTCAGATACTTGCATATAAGTGTAGCTACAAATTGTACGAGTGTTTTATGTTTGTTATTTAGTCGTTTGCTGGCGCTGAGACGGCCTTTCTCGGATTCGATTTTATTATAGGTGAATAAAAATTCTATGTTGGTGAATTCTCAATGCTTACTATTGTACTCAAATGTCTAGTTGCAGCTCGAAGAGGCGGGAACTACGGTTTGGTTCGTTTCTGACTTGAGTGACAGTATGCTGAGACAAGTCGTATTCGCCCCGCCTTGCGTGGTCATCGCGTGCGACGGCGTCGCGCCGACAATACTGGACCAGTGTTGCTTGGCGGGGTGCGTAGACCATACGTCGTAAATAAAATATTAAAAGTGCGGCGCTTGGGAATCAGACAGGGCTTGATGCAAATGATGAGATCGCTGCGCGCCGCCGCAAGCCGATTGTGCTTGACGCGTCTGGCGCCTGGAGGGGCGCGGGGGGGAGCGGGGGGGGCGGCGGGGGCGGGTCGGGTAGTCTAGGTTGTTAGGGGTAATTTAGATTATTGATGCCTTTCATCAGGGCGAATGTGGGAAGCGTTGTCTGACTTGGAAGGAAGAGAGCGGGTTCGCAGCAGTAGCGTGGCCGTGATCAACACACAGGTGTTGAGTCGGCCCTCCCTGCTGCGTCTCCCCAGCCCGGCGGGCTCCCCCCCTGGCTCCAGATGAATGAGGCGTCTCCGATGCCCGGCTGGTGCGAGGCACGATAATTGTACGGTCGCGATCTTTGTAGAACACGGCGGCTACAGGTGATGTAATGTCACAATCAGTGTGGCGCGGGGGTGTCAGTAGGTAGTGCAATGAGCCACGCAGGGGTGTGAGCCTTTTCTACGTTGTTGCTTTTTTTTTGATATCGGGGGGGTGGGTGATCGCGCATACCAACAGTGATGGTTGGTAGAAAAAGCGCAGGGCGCAGTGTGTAGTGGGTCATTCCACGCCTGATAGCTCTGCAATCCCTTCCCACTCCCTCCCCCATCAACTGATTGCGACCATATCAACTATAATCTTAGCAGGGGAAGTCCTGATTGCCAACAAGAGTTCGTGTTATTTTTCATTAAAATGGAACTGGTATTATCATTGCATAAACTGGCTTATCATATAGTCCGTATTACTGTAAGTGGTACGAACGGCATGATGATATGATACAATATGCCCGGTAGGAGAGGAGGGAGTGGCCGAGTAGGGCTTCATCAACCTAGTTCGGACCGCGGGCTATACATGGTCCACTGGAAGACGAAGTGTTCTGGTTGGTTTCTTAGACACTCCCTAGGTTCCGAAGTTGGAAAATACGTTTTAAGGGTCGGATTTATATTTCAATATTACTACTGCTGAGTTGTTGAACAGGAAAGTCACGAGGCGGACATACACGTACACTCGAAATCCCTGAGATGTGGTAGGCGTGGCTGCGTACTTCAACTAAACACGGTGGTGACTGTGCTTTTGGAGAGGCATTTCCATTTTGACACAATTGTGGCAATTTCTCTGTCTAACAATGAACAACGTGACAGTTGTCTCGAATTGGAATATCTCAGGAGTGGTCCCATTGTATGCCATGTTCAAATGTCACGCCTACTCCGTCTCACAGATAAGGGGTGTATATGTGGCAGTTCCACTGCTTTTTCGTTCGTAGTGGTCTCACTGGAATTTCTCCTTATCATCGTTCTGTTTTCTGCTATAACATCGTACTACTGTAACCTCGTTAGTTACGCTGGAACAGTCTTCAATTTTCATTTTCCTTTCGTTTTTTGCTGTGCTATACAGGATCTCTACGTTACGGTACTTGTGTCAATTAAGCAGTGCATAAAAGGGTTCATGAATATGTGTACAGTAAAGGTTGACGGATGGGCTGTCTGACCTGACCTTTCTGTGACGATGCTAAGGCGTCTCATTATCATCGGACACTCAGCGGGGCACATGGTGAAATGATGGGGCTTGCAACCTTAACGGTCTGTATCGTCTTCGTCCTTTTGTGTGGTTAACCTATGTTTAGATCGACGCTTAGACTGTACATCTTCTATGAGTTATTTGAATTTTTATGCAACAATTAGGCGTGTTTGAAATGAAAACTGTGGCTACGTTTGAAATCAACTCACAATCATCGGACACTTAATAAAGCCCACACCTAAAAATAAGGATATGGTACTCCGTTCCATGTTAATCGCTTAAAATCAATCACTGAGTTTATACCCCAGCGAATTTGAATAAATACAGCAGTTCGGCAGCTGAAGTCAAGGAGTGGCATAGCGGAAGATTTCGGTTCGGTGAAACGACATACAAAACCCTCTACGAAAGATGCGCCCAGAAGTCAAATGGTGCCAGAGAATTAACTAATTCAGGCTTTTATCTCTAAGTAAAAAAAAACAATAAGGCAATATGCTTATGATTTATTAAGAAAGAAACCTGGGCGGGAGGGGTTGGGAAATGCCCGGCGCTGGTCGTCCTCAGCTCAGGCCGTGTCATGAACAGGGCTCGTCGTACATTGGGTATTACAAGCGGAGGTCGTACTTGGTTGCTGGAGGGGGAGTTGTCATCCTTTGGAAAGAATGTTTGCAATTGTCGTTTGTTGGCTTCTCTCAGTTTTTCACGTTTTTTTGTGCTCTATATACTTCCTTTCCCCCATCCCGCTCGACGGTACTTTTTCTGAGGACAAACGAGAATTCTCGGAAGTTTGGTCAGAAGGAAGTCGGTGAAATGTTGGGAGAGGGTAGGTAAGATAAGGAGAGGGAGTCGCTAGAAAGGACAATTCGTGGCGAAGTGGTAGCTTTTGTAAAACTTTTCCCAACGACGGTTTGCGACGAAAAAATCTGTCGCAAACCGTCGCACTGACCACAAATTAGGAGCGGAATTGTAGGAGGTGCCGTGATTAAAAACGCGAACATTAATCCATTCAAAACTTAATGGTCAGTGAACATGTGGCAACTTCTCCCTAGACCTTCCTCGACAGTTGCAAGTCTTTCACATCGGTAATACAGGACAACACTTTGGAGATTAAGGCATGTGATATTCGCGGCACGTTTCAAGTTTTATTGTTGCTTCTTGATTGTTTCGTTCTGCCCATATGCAGAAAGTCCGATCTTTGCTGGAGCTGAGACAAACAGCTTGTAGCGACCGAAATTATCAATACTAAAGGCTCTCTGTCCCTGGTCCTTAAAAAAGGCCCTACAGAGCTCTGAGAAAGATGAATGTTGCTGAAAGGATAGCTGGATAAAAATCTGTTTCAAGAAGGCGAAATCATAATTCCTAAGAATAACGTGGTGTTATTCATTTTTAAGGTGATGGTTTACTATCGGTAGTTCAATTGTACGAGTACAGCAGGCTGAGAAATACAGAATAATTTTAAAACATGTAAAGGTAGCTCGTAGGAATTTATTAAAGCTACACAAACGACGTACCCAGCAGATATAGTTGGGTACATCGTCTGGTAGCTTGATGGGAGCCTATGGACACCTTTGATAAGCAGCGGCTTTGGTTTGCATGGGCATTTGAAGTTTTAGTCGCAAAATCTACTGTGGCATTGCATTAGCAGAAAAATTTTGAAAACAGCTGAAAATATAATGTTATTTCAATTGAAAGATAGCGCTCAACATGGTTCCGCAGCCGTTCTTCATAAGTATTTGCAAATTTGAAGCTGAGGTTTCACCTTGAAGATTAAGAAGAAGAACAGAACAGCTGCTAATTGACAGCCTCCTAACCAGACGCCAACCAATTGGGTCACCGAGGGGGCGTGTCAACCCCGCCCCTCTCGACACTGTAATTTATGTACGCATAAGTCCTTCTCGTACGGCATGAGCACGCCTTCGCCAGGCCTTAAATCGGTAAGTCTTATGTGCTTAGAGGTCTCTTTGAGGTATATCAGGTGTCATAAAGGATCACATTTTCTGATCTGGTAAAACAAAATAATACGAAATCCCATATTCCCCATTTTTAAAATTCTTATTCGAAAGTATTGTCTTGTGGAAACGTTGCGGAGATTAGCGGTCCAAGATTCAACATTACAAGCCTACCACCTAATAAATCGAGACTGTGCATTTATTATAATTTCTTCAGTAGAGGGAAAAGCCGGCACTCTATTGTTGTACATCACTGTAATAATTACTTATAACCACCGATTTTTTTTGTTTTTTTTTCTGTTGTATTCCGCTGTATTTACAAGTAAATAACAAGAGAAGCTTATGGGTTTCAGCGTGCTCTACTCAGTGATGAGGATTTCGAGCCGTATGTTCGAAAGCAGCGTTCGGACTCGACAGAGAACAACCGACGTAGGCTGATTGGTCTGGATGAAGAGGTAAGCCTGAAAGCAAGTTCTTAACAGATGGAAACGTTTAATTTTTATCGATTTTCATGGTTGAGCTGGTTTCTCAGTAGAATCCCACCACATTCATCTCTTTCAGTATCGTTATTTTTCCGGGAACATTTCAAAAACTCATTGATTTCGAAATACGGAGCTTGGGAAGAACAACCGAATAAGCATCACATAGGGAAGAATTAGAGCAAAAAATAAGGGCTTCAAGAGAACTCCGAAGTCCGAGGATCTACTTGTTTTCAAAAATTCTTTCAATTGCGACTTTCGACTGCAGTAAGAAGGCTTTTAAAAGCAGTTGGCACGATAAATTTCTAAGACGAGTAGTATCAATACCCCTAGCAGGACGGAATTCCGCTCACCTGAGCAGGCGCTGCGCAGCGTCTTTTCCAAGGAAGGTGCCCCTATTAGGCCCTATCATACAACATACCGACCCGAACGCCCACCACGCCCTCACAAAATGGACGACCGTACCTGATGTTCATTTCTTCATTTGCGAAGTAAAATATGAAGCGAAGGGATTGATATGAAGCGGCCGCGGTGCTGCATGGATATATGAGTACATACGTGCAGCCGTATCTACCGTAGCGGTATTGGCAAGATGCCTACGGGAAACTCGTCCGAAATTGCTTTTGAGTCATTAAGAACGAAGGCTTTTCTTCGCAGGTTTTTGACCGTTTCACTTCGTTCCCACTATATAGCACTCTGCTAGCAGTTTAAAACGGGTACCAAATTATCGTGCCTTATGCCTTGCAATAACGAAGTTTACTTCACGCAGAAAGGGCCAAGCGTGTTCCTTTGTTAACATACGGGCAATTTCTTTCAAGACATATAAGCTTCTGTGAAGCTACGAAAGGTCATGCACTCCTTTGCTCGCCTTTTCCGCGTTGTCCTTATTCCTTTGGATGCCTTCAGGTGCGGGAAGGCAACAAGAAACGATTGTGAGCTTGGACAAAAGGAAATCAGCATTGGTTCTCAGGCGAATCCCAGGCAGCCCTCCTCCTGCTATCTTTTCTAGCTTATTGAGCTGAGCTTCCAAACGGAAGCTAATCTAACCCTCTGAGCTCACCCTCTTGAAACTGCTTTTTATTCCTACTCTATTTATTCCATTCTATTCTAAGCCATAGTAGAATGTTTATTTATTATATAGATGGGTCGACCCATCCATGGGAGGCAAAATGCCCCCCCCCTCCGTCGCCGAACTGCCCCGGTAGTGCGTTCATATTTCCACCTTTGATCGAGTTTGTCAACAATGACTGATAATCTTCCAATATGGAGAGGTGTTATGTAGGTGGGGAAGGGGGAGGGGTGTAGGTGTACGGGTAGGAAGCAGTAATTCTTCTGAGAATGAGTACTGATAACTTTAGTAGTAGAAAAAGCCCATTTGATTTCAAGATCCGGTTCCTATTTAGTGCTGCACGCGCGGCTGATTAAAACTGTTAATTACGGGTATATGCCATCGTCACAATGTTCCTAGTAAGTAAACCATATATTCCTTATTTTTATATTCTTTTCGAAACAGGATCCCTCATGATGCAGTTTTTATTGAACAGTGGAAAAAAGCTGATTCTTCAGAAATTGGGAATGAATCCCGCTTTTAGCATAACCGCTGTTAACAGGTAGCTGATTAATCCATTGGTTTCAGGAGCAGAATATTTTACGGACGTCAATAAACTCTCGAGAGCGAAAACGAATGCACGACTTGAACGAAGCACTGGAAGAGCTACGCAGCTGCTTACCGTACTCTCAGGACCAGTCAGCACGGAAAATGAGCAAAATCAATACGTTGCTTCTTGGCATGCAACTGGTAAGGAGTGTCACATTTCTGTAGGGGAATCGTATTGGTTAGGTTCGATAACTGCTGTTTATGCCGCAGTGTGCGCTCCGAAGGTTATCACAAGCTGAGATATGGGCAAAAGTGTGACCCGGGACGGAGCTCGGAGCCGAATATCCCGCTTACCAGGCCGTTGTCCCATCCATTAGGCTACCGGTACCACTGTTACCCTCTTTTGACTTTGACTGACACTCTTGCTCGGCAAACCGTGATTCTTTGATTACTACTTGCCACTTTTGAACTGCTTTGCAGAAGAATCTCCGAAATGCTGTTTCAAATGATGACTTAAAGGCACATTCCACGATTGCGCTGTAAGGGGAAAGGTACTGTTCGCCACAGAGGATGACTTTGAGCCACTTTGGTGTTAAGCAACAATGGGCGATAAGGCGCAACGTTGCTTAAGCTGTTGAGCGCAAGTAACTCCTTTCACTTCAGTGTCTGTCGCCTCACCTTTTATATGCTATTTCCGTACTGTTGTCTAGTCTCACACCCATAATCCCAATGAATCTTCATCCTCTCGCTCGGAACGAGAAAGGCGCTTATCTAGAAAGTTTTCTTCAGTTTGGTCTGCTTTCTTCTCCACGGGTTGGTCGAGTAGCACGTAGGCTTCTGTATTTCAAGCCCGTTTTCGGCGGCTCACGGCGAAATGTGCCTTTAATAAGATCCAGAACAAGCGATAGTTCTCGACAGGGTGCAGAACTCATTCTGAGCTTTTATATCATAGTCTGCCTTTCAATAGACTACGGTACTTTCAGGATTCGCCAGCTGACAATCCGAAATCACGAGCTGCAGAAGCAGCTGGCCGCGTTGCGAGCCGAAGACCGTATCTCTGTCCCAATCGGACCCCCACCGCCGTCATCACAGCCAACGAGCACCTTCCCCGTCCCACCAGGGCCAATTAATTTCGCTGCACTGGGGCCAGCCCCTTGCATGAAGGCGTTTGGGCAGGCATGTTTCTGTATTGCCTGTCTAACGTTGGGATCGAAACAATGAAAAAAGCAACCTTTTTGTTAATCTTTTTCGATGACGTCATTTAGGCCAACCCATTAGCATTCAGTTGTCTAATTCGTTTTTCTCACAACTCATTTTCCTTCCTATGCTACCGTAATCCTACAGTATTCCTCATGCGTGCTAATTGAACGACTACGAGTATCATGGCGAGGCTTTTATGTGGAGGCACACTCACAAATGTTTGTGTCGTTGACCTCTAAAACTGTCCAAATGTGCCTGTTTCCAGTCGCTATTTTCATTATTGATCAACCCTTTGATTTATTGATTGTGCTTCGATGTTCGTTGAAATGTATACAGATTATTACATGGCCTTTTGTTTTCCTTCAGATTTTGATGTACTGAGCGTCCGTCAATGAGGACTCAACAGTGCCAAAGTTCTTTGGCGACAAACCGACACTTCATCATTCGCACCACATTATAATGAGATCATGGTCAGATATCCGTCGTTGCTTGGCGGTCATGCGCAGTATAATTTTTATGTCCCTTTGGCCGGCGTTAGCAATTTCTTTTGCAATTCATTACTAGCGGCGCCGTTCAACGACCTCGCGATGATTCGCCAGTTGAAGACGGCTGGTCGTCGTTCGGAGGAGATTGACCATATCAGCCAACAGCTGAGAGTTTCGATCCTGCAGACTGCGCCATGCGTCCGACTTGATTTACAGATCATTTACCGTTGCAAGGGCAATGTCAGAGTTCTGTTCGTGTGAAAAGCGCTGGCTGAACCAGCAAATTGTTTTCATAGCTATAGAGAAATCTAGCAGCCCGTGTGACCACTGGATGAAGAATGATTGGCCAATAAACATAATTTTTTTCTGGGTCAGGGACCAAGCAGAAGTAAGGTGCAGGCATTCATCAACCATATCAGGCCAGAAACAAACTGTTCTCCACTCTGATGCAAATTCCTTTCTTGTCACTATACATAATTGAACCGGGGATTTTTCGGTTTTCCTTTTCGCTGGTCTTGCTGGTTGGCTAAAATTCTTAGTTTTTTTGTTTCCGAACTGCTGGTTACCGCTCCTGGTGATGTCGCAGTTTTAACGTGCCCTATGCCTTGGTTACACAGCTCAAATGCGACGAAGTGGGTAGAGTCATGGTTTCCGAGGGATGCAGCGACTGGGCGGCTCGAAAGTCTGCTGTCTGCAAAGATTACCCATGATGGATTGCACCTTTTCAAGATTACTCTTTTGTAGCAAACTTTAAGAAGGAAAAAACACCCTTTCTAGTCGATTCGGGCCTAGCTAAGGATTAGTTCATTTATTTATTCATTCATTCAAATACACCAGAAGGTGCGCCGCATAGTTAAGAAGAACAAACTCATTGCACAGTGAACACAGTTAGAAGGAAAGAAAACAAATAAGCTATGAAAATAAAAGAATAAAGATAACGAAGTGACCGAAATTCGGGTAGCGTGACGTGGTAAGTGGGAATGAGATATGAAACTTTCATTGTGCCAGGTGGATAACGTTGTTTTCCCCATCCAGCAGATGAAAAAGTCCCCTCACGAGATCCTGGTCCTTGGTTCTGAACGCAAATATACAAGACGGCACTCTACTGGGGCTTGCTGACAACTTAACTACTAACTTAGCTTAATTAGTTAATTCCTTTTGCCACCTGAATCGTGTTCAGCTGCCTTTGTAGTCCTGGAATAGGGCCAAATGCATGGTTGATCACACTAGAGATCATGCTGTTCGAAACTCACGGCTTCACTACCTTCATAACTGACTCTACACACGTAGTTCCAAAATACTGTGAAACACATGTACATTCCTTTCCTTTCAGGGCCCAGAGTTTCCTCACCATCAGATATTGAAAAAGGCGGAGATGGTGTGGTAGTGACAAGTTGGTGCGC